ATCAAAAGAGAAACAGCCACTTTGTCCTTTCCCCACAAAGAGACAGTACAGCTCGAAGCCACAACAATTACCATATACAGATATTATATTGTAAACATGTATTAAGCCTTAAGGGAATGGGATAAATTCTGAATAAATAATGGGATTGGAATGCGACTTTAAAGGATAAAGCTGTTTACTGATGTTTGAATTCCTTTAATCTTTTTTATATGGACTCTCAGGGTTGGAAGAGACCAAAAGGGCCCGATGGGGCCTTCCACACAGCCACATAACCCAGAATATCAAGGCAGAAAATCCCACAAAATATGCATTGAACTGGGTTATTTGAGTCCACATTGCCATATATTCCATTTCAAAGCAGAAAATGTGCGGATTTATTCAGCTGTGTGGAAAGGGCCCAATTCACCCCCTTGCCATGCAGGAATACAAAAGCACTCCTAACAGATGGTCATCCAGCCTCTGTTTAAAAACCTCCAGAGAAGGAAACTCCATCACACTCCAACGCAGAATATCCCTCTATTTGTGTTGTTGAAGGCTTTTATGGCCAGAATACTGGGTTGCTGTGAGTTTTCTGGGCTGTATGGCCATGTTCCAGAAGCATTCTCTCCTGACATTTCACCCACATCTATGGCAGGCATCCTCAGAGGTTGTGAGGTTTGCTGGAGGCTGTTAGAAATGATGGGAGTTGAAGTCCAAAACACCTGGAGGAAGGCCCAAGTTGGTCCATGTCTGCGGCTGTTAGGAAAGGTGGGAGTTGGTCCAAAACACCTGGAGGAAAGCCCAAGTTGGACCATGTCTGAGGCTGTTAGGAATGGTGGGAGTTGAAGCCCAAAGCACCTGGAGGAAGGCCCAAGTTGGACCATGTCTGAGGTTGTTAGGAATGGTGGGAGTTGGTCCAAAACAGCTGGAGGAAGGCCCAAGTTGTTCCATGTCTGCGGCTGTTAGGAAAGGTGGGAGTTGGTCCAAAACACCTGGAGGAAGGCCCAAGTTGGACCATGTCTGAGGCTGTTAGGAATGGTGGGAGTTGGTCCAAAACACCTGGAGGAAGGCCCAAATTTGACCATGCCTGGGGCTGTTAGGAATGGTGGGAGTTGAAGTCCAAAGCACCTGGAGGAAGGCCCAAGTTGGTCCATGTCTGCGGCTGTTGGGAATGGTGGGAGTTGAAGCCCAAAACACCTGGAGGAAGGCCCAAGTTTGACCATGTCTGAGGATGTTAGGAATGGTGGGAGCTGAAATCCAAAACACATGGAGAAAGACCCAAGCTTGACCATGCCTGAGACTGTTAGGAATGGTGGGAGTTGAAGTCCAAAACACCTGGAGGAAGGCCCAAGTTTGACCATGTCTAAGGCTGTCAGGAATGGTGGGAGATGAAGTCCAAAACACCTGGAGGGAGGCCCAAGTTGGACCATGCCTGAGGCTGTTAGGAATGGTGGGAGTTGGAGTCCAAAACACCTGGAGGAAGGCCCAAGTTTGACCATGTCTGAGGCTGTTAGGAATGGTGGGAGTTGAAGTCCAAAACACCTGAAATGAGGCCCAAGTTTGACCATGTCTGAGGATGTTAGGAATGGTGGGAGCTGAAATCCAAAACACATGGAGGAAGACCTAAGCTTGACCATGCCTGAGGCTGTTGAGAATGGTGGGAGATGAAGTCCAAAACACCTGAAGGGAGGCCCAAGTTTGACCATATCTGAGGATGTTAGGAATGGTGGGAGATGAAGTCCAAAACACCTGAAGGGTGGCCCAAGTTGGACCATGTCTGAGGCTGTTAGGGATGGTGGGAGATGAAGTCCAAAACACCTGGAGGGAGGCCCAAGTTTGACCATGTCTAAGGCTGTTAGGAATGGTGGGAGATGAAGTCCAAAACACCTGAAGGGAGGCCCAAGTTGGACCATGTCTGAGGCTGTTAGGAATGGTGGGAGTTGGAGTCCAAAACACCTGGAGGAAGGCCCAAGTTTGACCATGTCTGAGGCTGTTAGGAATGGTGGGAGTTGAAGTCCAAAACACCTGAAATGAGGCCCAAGTTTGACCATGTCTGAGGATGTTAGGAATGGTGGGAGCTGAAATCCAAAACACATGGAGGAAGACCTAAGCTTGACCATGCCTGAGGCTGTTGAGAATGGTGGGAGATGAAGTCCAAAACACCTGAAGGGAGGCCCAAGTTTGACCATATCTGAGGATGTTAGGAATGGTGGGAGATGAAGTCCAAAACACCTGAAGGGTGGCCCAAGTTGGACCATGTCTGAGGCTGTTAGGGATGGTGGGAGATGAAGTCCAAAACACCTGGAGGGAGGCCCAAGTTTGACCATGTCTAAGGCTGTCAGGAATGGTGGGAGATGAAGTCCAAAACACCTGGAGGGAGGCCCAAGTTGGACCATGCCTGAGGCTGTTAGGAATGGTGGGAGTTGGAGTCCAAAACACCTGGAGGAAGGCCCAAGTTTGACCATGTCTGAGGCTGTTAGGAATGGTGGGAGTTGAAGTCCAAAACACCTGAAATGAGGCCCAAGTTTGACCATGTCTGAGGATGTTAGGAATGGTGGGAGCTGAAATCCAAAACACATGGAGGAAGACCTAAGCTTGACCATGCCTGAGGCTGTTGAGAATGGTGGGAGATGAAGTCCAAAACACCTGAAGGGAGGCCCAAGTTTGACCATATCTGAGGATGTTAGGAATGGTGGGAGATGAAGTCCAAAACACCTGGAGGGAGGCCCAAGTTTGACCATGCCTGGTATAGATGCAGAGAAGGCTAAAGGGGTGAGGAAAGCACATTTCCCAGGATCCTATAGCATTGGATCCCTCTCTCTTTCCAGATTCCGCAGGAACTCATACACAGGGCGCTGCTGCCAATGCCTGTCTGCGGGTGAGGAAGGAGAGAGGGAGGGGGGAGGGAGAGACCCTCATTCGGATTCCTCTCTTTTCCCCGCGGCTCCCTTCCTTCCTTCCTTCCTTCCTTCCTTTCTTTCCACGGGACTTGCGCGTTTGTGCCGCTCGCTCTCCGCCTGGGATGACTCACCGCGCCCCTCCCTCGCCCTGCTCCTAAAGGGGGAATCCCTGCAGCTGTGTCTATGTGGATGGGAAGGGGGTGGGAGTCAGCTCCCCCCGTGGAGTGGGGAAAGAGAGACACAAACTGGAAGAGAGCATGCCGGCGGAAGACCCCCAAAGCGCGTGATGGAGCGGCGGCCACCAGGCGGCGCTAGAGAGACTCCTCTCGGCTTCACTGGATCCTGGGACTCTTGATAGATCTTCTTCGGCTTCAGCAGCAATTGCAGCCTTTCTTCTTCCTCCTCTTTTCTTCCTTTCTTGGATCCCTTGCCTTCCTTCTGCTGCTCTGGCTGGAAAAGGACCCGCGAGTGGTGAAGTTTCCAAGCGGAGGGGGAAAGGAGAGAGAGAAGGAAGAGAGGAAAGAGCAGCCTCTCTTCTTTCATTCTCTCCATCCCGTCTTTTCCTTCTCTTACTGAAGACCCAACCGAAAGTGAAGCCGCCTCGATCCTAAAGAAGAAAAGGAGGGAGAGAAAAGATTAGGATAATCTCTCTTTCTTTCCAGCCCGATCCACGCGAGTTCTGTTCCCGAGTGGGTGCCCAAGAAGCCGGGATCGAGTTGGAAGAGGGGCTCCGACGTTCCTGGGATATCTCTGAGCCACTGGTGCCAACCCCTAGACACCGGAGGAGAAGAGAAGTCACTCCAGAAAGGCATTCATCCTTCAAGGACTCCACAATCTCAACCTGATTCCTTCAAGGACTCCACAATCTCAACCTGGCCAAAGAGGAGCGCCCTGGGGTCTTGGCACCACGTTGGAAGACCTCTCCTACTCCAGCTGTACCCATCTGTGCCCCCAAGCCATTCTTTGGCATCTTCCAGAGCTCTCCAACCCACCCATGCAAAGACAACATCCCTGGTAAGTCAACCAAAGGACCTTCCAACCAGCAGCACCATTGGGTGGTCATTTGCCCAAGCCAACCGCCTGCCTGCCTTCTTCACCGTCTCCCTGGGCAAACATTCCATGATTTGGGTCCAGTTTTTTGTCCCATCTGGCACTGTACAGGAAAGGTTTGGCTCTCCAGTGGCACAACCAACTCCCCCTTGGTGCCTCTCTCTCCCTTTTAAGCCGCAGTGGTGTGTGCCACCAACCCAGCCTTCAGCATTTTGAGGGAACCCTCTCCATCACTCTACAAACCCATTTATGGGAAGGGGACGTTCTTCGTAAGTCAACCTGAGGACCTTCCAGCCAACACAACATCAGCAGCACCGTCAAGTGGAGGGGGGGGGTCATTTGCTTTTCCCTTAGTGCCACTCTCTCCCTTTTAAGCAACAGCGGTGTGTGCCACCAAACCAGCCTTTAGTATTTCAAAGGAATCCTCTCTATCGCTCTAGAAACCCACTTATGGGAAGAGGAGACTCTTCATATGTCAAACTGAGGATCTTCTAACCAACGCACCATCGGCAGCACCATTGAGCAGAAGTGGGGGGTCATTTGCTCCCCCTTGGTGCCTCTCTCTCCCTTTTAAGCTGCAGCAGAGTGTGCCACCAACCCAGCCTTGGGCATTTTGAGGGAATCTCGTCCATTGCTCTACAAACCCACTTATGGGAAGAGGACACTCTTTGTAAGTCAACCTGAGGACCTTCCAACCAACACATCATCAGTAGCACCATTAAACAGAGTGGAGGAGCAGTGTCATTCGCTTCTGTGCCAGTCTCCTGAGAGAAGAGAAGGGGCACAAACATCTGACCATCTGGGTCCAGTGTGTGCCATCTGGCATGAGCCCAATGCGCAGGAAAGGCAACCAGCACCGACTGTCGATTGGCACAGCCATCTCACGGTGAACGAGTCCCCTTTGTGCCTCTCCTCAGGAGACAGACAACGTGTTTTTTCTTGGACTGCCACCCATTCCTGACCATGCTTTAGCCCCCTCCCCAGAAGAAAAAAGACTGCAGTGAGGTGACGTCACTTTCTGTACCTGAACCCAGAGAAAGTGGTCACCTGGTCTAGTTCTTGCTCCAGCACAACTCACTCAATCAGATAGACAGGCAAGATCCTTCTTCTCATTCCAAGGATGTCGGTGGTGCGGAGGAAGTTTGGAGATGACTACCAGGCTGTGGCAGCCACCTCTACCCGGCGGAAAAGGCAACGTTTTGTGGACAAGAATGGCCGCTGCAACGTCCAGCATGGCAACCTGGGCAGCGAGAACAGCCGCTATATCTCCGACCTCTTCACCACCCTGGTGGACCTCAAGTGGCGCTGGAACCTCCTCATCTTCCTGCTGACTTACACGGTTGCTTGGCTGGTCATGGCCTCCATGTGGTGGGGGATTGCTTACATGCGGGGGGACCTAGAGATCCACCATGGCCACAACGCTGGGCACAACCCCTGTGTGGCCAACGTCTACAACTTCCCCTCTGCCTTCCTCTTCTTCATCGAGACAGAAGCCACCATCGGTTATGGGCACCGATACATCACTGAGCGCTGCCCTGAGGGCATTGTGCTGTTCCTCTTCCAGTCTCTTCTGGGCTCAGTGGTGGACGCCTTCCTGATCGGGTGCATGTTCATCAAGATGTCCCAGCCCAAGAAGCGAGCAGAGACTCTCATGTTTAGCCGGGCCGCTGTCATCTCTCAGCGTGATGGCAAGCTCTGCCTCATGTTCCGGGTGGGCAACCTGCGCAACAGCCATATGGTCTCGGCCCAGATCCGCTGCAAACTCATTAAGGTGAGTGGAAGGGGTTCCTAGGGAATAGATGGCAAAAGTGACCTCAATGTCAGGGATACAAATATCTAAGCAGCAAATGAACCAGTGATAACTAAATCACACTTGAGAAACATGTTGCCCTCTGGCTCTTGTTGGCTTCCCAGATTCCATCATGCTCAGCCAGCATGTCTAGTGGTTAAGATATATGAGGTCAGTGTAGTCCAAAACCTCTGGAGGCCCACAAGATCACCGATCTAGAGCAGAGTTTCTCAAACTGCTTCTCCAAATGTTTTGGAATTCAACTCCCACAATTCCCAACAGCTGGTAAACTGGCTGGGATTTCTGGAAGCTGAAGACCAAAGCACCTGGAGGAACACAGTTTGAGAAACACTGAGGGCCCTTCCACACAGCCCAATATCCCAGAATATCAAGGCAGGAAATTCCACATTATCTGCGTGTGGACTCAGATAACACAGTTCAAAGCAGATATTGTGGGATTTTCTGCCTTGATATTCTGGGATATAGGGCTGTGTGGAAGGGCCCCCCTGAGCTAGAGTATTGCATGGCGATATGGGAGAGAGCAGTATCAGGTAGTGTCTTGCACTTTACTGCAATAGTGAATCCCTTTTGGATTTTAGTGTAAGGAACTGTAAACTAAGGAGCTATCTAAGGGCCCTTCCACACAGCCCTATATCCAGAATATCAAGGCAGAAAATCCCACAATATCTGCTTTGAACTAGATTATCTGAGTCCACACTCAGATAATATGGGATTTCCTGCCTTGATATTCTGGGATATAGGGCTGTGTGGAAGGGCCCTCAGGCACTGAACCAATGGGGGTTCGGTACCTTGAAGCAGTTCCTTTTAGAGTAGGGACTAAAAACCAGAACAGATTCACAGTCTCATCAATATAAGAACCATAACCGTTATTCAAATGCTCACTATAATCTCCATCTTCAACCCATAACTGTTTAATGTTGTCGAAGTTCCTTGGTCTTAATTTCTCCATCTATAAGATAGGAAATGGGGAAAATAAGCATCATGGGATTATTTTAAAGGCGATGATAAACCCACTTGCAAATGAAAGCTGCTATTTGAATGGCAGAAATGAGCCAATGCTAAGCAGAGAGAAAACACGGTCTCCAAGGATAATGGGTAAAGAGAACTGGGAGTTGGTAACATGGAGTTCCAAGGCAGATGGTCAAATGATTGAAATTCTACCATTTGTTAGGCATTCTCAATTTTTCACTTTTTCTGCAACTATGAGTATTATGATTCCTCAACCTAGTGTCTTCCAAACATTTCAAATTAGAGTTTCCATAATGCAGGAGGGAGCTGATAGGAGTTCTTCATACACACCTGAAGTCCTAATCATTTTAGTGATTATTAGAATAAGATCCACTGAATTCAGTGGTGTGTTGTCCCCCCGTAAACATGCATTACGGTTGAGCTTATAAAACTCACTGTTTCCAATGTCTTTGAAACAACAACACTTCAAAAATCAGCAGAATTGGGACACCATCAAGTAAACAAAGCAGACAACTTGCTAGCATATTTCAGCAATTGTAACCCACCCAGAGAACTTTGTGATCGTGTGGCATAATGAATAAATATTGTATGAGTTAGGATCGTTTGCCTGAGAACGACGCACAGACAGGTGTTGAAGTTTCTACTGTCTAATTTGAGTGAAGGCTCGGTTCGAAATATATTCGACGACAGCCTGGAAAGACAGAACATCTTGTGAAACCAACAGTATTTTTAAGCATATACAAAGTGTCCTTCCATAAGCACTAATCACTTTGCCGGCATTTGCGCATGCATACTGCATTGCAGCATATAGCTAAATAAATGGTTGGCACTATCTGCTTTGACTTCCCCAAATCATGTGTTGGGGAAGGGGCGGCGATGCCAGGCCTTTTTCTTTCCCAATTGACGACTAGTGCCATCAGAGCTGCCATAAGTGACCACCTGTTCAGTGGGAAAGATCCGTCTTTGAACCCACTTGCACCCAGCCCGCTGCTTTTTGCAGAGAGATCGCTTTGAAGCAGCAGGAAGATTGACGAAGAAGGTAGCGAGAGCAAGAGGGAACATACATCACTTGGGAGAAAGGGGTGAAATCACATGGGATGCTCAGAGCCCTTCTTTCCCATTCCAAATCCATGGGGACACAATTGGCAGTGAAGGTTCAAAAGCCTGCTTGTCCTTTGCCATAATTTCATATGACTCAGAGTGAAGAGGAGTGCAAGGCTGGCACCTAGCATTTGCTCTCGCTTTTATTGAAGTTAAGCCTTAGAGCAGTGGTTCTCAACCTTCCTAATGCCACAACCCCTTAATACAGTTCCTCGTGTTGTGCTGACCCCCAACCATAACATTATTTTCATTGCTACTTCATAACTGTAATTTTGCTACTATTATGAATCATAATGTAAATATCTGATATGCAGGATGTATTTTCATTCGCTGGACCAAATTTGGCACAAATACCTGAATTTGAATACCGGTGGGATTGGGGGAGATTGATTTTGTCATTTCGGAGTTGTAGTTGCTGGGATGTATAGTTCACCTACAATTAAAGAGCATTCTGAACTCCACCAACGATGGAATTGAACCAAGCCTAGCTCACAGAACTCCTATGAGCAATAGAAAATACTAGAAGGGTTTGGTGGGCATTGACCTTGAGTTTTGGAGTTGTAGTTCACCTATATCCAGAGAGCACTGTGGACTCAAACAATGAGGGATTTGGACCAAACTTGGCACGGATACTCAGTATGCCCAAATGTGAACACTGTTGGAGTCTGTGGAAAATAGACTTGACATTTGGGAGTTGAACCAAACTTGGCACACAGAAATCCCATGACCAGTAGAAGATACTGGAAGGGTTTGGTGGGCATTGAGTTTTGGAGCTGTAGTTCACCTACATCCAGAGAGCACTGTAGACTCAATCAATGATGGATCTGGACCAAACTTGGCATGAATACTCAACATGCCCAATGTGAACACTGGTGGAGTTTGGGGAAAACAGATCTTGAAATTTGGGAGTTGTAGTTGCTGGAATTTATAGTTCACCTACAATCTAAGAGCATTCTGAATGCCACCAATGATAAAATTCCCACACAGAACCTCCATGACCAGCAGAAAATATTGTGTTTTCTGATGATGATGATGATGATGATGGTGATGATAATAATAATAATAAACTTTATTTATACCCTGCCACCATCTCCTCAAAGGGGACTCAGAGCAGCTTACATGAGGCCAAACTCAGCGATACATTACAGCAAAATAAAATATAAACAACAAAATAACATCACATAAAATAAATAAGCCATTCAAGTAAAATAAACAGTGCAAAATAACATAATGGAAAATCAAACACAGTGGGCAGGCCAAATGCACGACATAAAACGATAAAACTCTGGATGAGATAGCAATGAAAAAGGTATATTTGTGGGGGAGGAGCTCATAGGGGACAGAACAGTGGAGTTAGACTTTCAATAAGGTGGATAAAGTGCAATATGAGGGAAACAGTGTGGGTGAAACAACAGGAATGGAATATATGGTCACTCTCCAAAGGCACATCGGAAAAGCCAAGTTTTTAGATCCTTCTTAAAGGTCTTTGGTGACCTCCTCTGACACCCCCTTGCGACCGCCCGCCAGGGGTCCCAACCCCCAGGTTGAGAAATACTGTCTTAGAGTAAGACTTAGATAAAACACCCAGAACCTCCATTCAGGAAAATAAGGATGAGTGCTTACACTCCTTTGGGAAAAAACAAGCATGTGATGCAGCAAGGCTGAACTGGTTTTTCACATTCTGAAATAAATGAATGTCCATTCCCTTCTGAAGAGGAGAAATGCAAAAACCATTTGAAATCGGCAAAATCACTGCCATCCAAAGAAAGAAAGCTCCTAAAACCACTCTGTCCGGAGTCTAAAATTACCTAAGTACAGCACTGCCCTAGAGGGGAGGAGGCAAAGAGGGCTAAAGCAAGAGATTGAAAGGAAAGAGACAGAAATGCCAATAGCAGAAAAGGAAGGGAGATATTGTTGAGTAAGAGTCGTAGCTGCATCTACTTGCTTGTCTTTTCTGTTTCGCAGTATATGGGCACACAGCATTCCTAGATGTAAAGCCTTTGCGATTGCACAGCCTCACTTTTTGAGATCTTCCAAGGTGTTGGATCCAAAAAGCTGTCATCCACAGCCAACATAGTCATTATGCTGGCAAGATGCAAAGCTGAGGCCATTGTAAATGAAAGCATGAGTTATAGGTCTGATCTGTCTTAATATAACATAATTTCATGTCTTCTTTCAAACTACAACATCCCCCAAATCATTAGCAACCTGGTTTTTACCTTGGGGATTAAAATATCACGCCAGAACCTTGCCAATCATATTTTAGCTACAACCAATAAATACAAAAATTATGCCCTGGATTTCCTCCTTTACATAATCTTGAATATTACTCTCTAATAGCAGAGCCTTTGAAGTATCTAGGTGATTATAACCACTCTGGATATGAATAACCCATAAGGTTTTTGCTCAAGACAATCTAACGCACGGACTTCTCCACCACTTGTGAATTTATCTTCCTTTCTACTGTCACCTTTTCATCATATTCATTAACCTGTTCCAATAATCGTCTTTAACCTCTCTGGTGTAGAACCACTTAGAAATAATTTGGCAGTAAGATTCATTCACTGACAAATAGAAAGGACTATCCCATTATTGCAAACATTCCCATTGATGCATAGTACTCTTGAATCCAGAATAAGACCGCAATCCTTTACCTACTTACTCAGGAGTGAGCTGCATTGAATTCCTAGATAGCCATAGAATTATATAATTATTTGCACTTAGTCTCTTTCGAAATCAATGGGTCATGCTTACAGTGCGATCTACTGAAGTTCCTTTTCCTGGCATTCTATATAACTGGCATGTTCTGGATGTATATTATTTATATTCACATGTATGTACGACATTGAATTTTGCCTTTATAATGTTGGAAACCGCTTTGCGTTCCCTTA